CGCTTTCACACCGCATGCACGTCCAAACGAACAAGGAGACCTTCATGATAGATGAGAATACAAAGGCACGATTAATAACACTTTCCAAAAATATCCAAATGAAGAAGCACTCTACTGAAGCGTTCGCCTCGGTCAAGCGATCTTTTGTATGTTTTGAAAATCCACTTACCTATTCGAAAATTAATCCGTAGAATAAATGTCGCGCGCTAGAGACAAGCATTAAAGATGACCTCATTAAGATGATATTTACCGAAATTGTAATAATGGAACACTGAACATAAAATATCATATAATTCAACAGCATGAGGATCTTACTTAGCCTATCCTGACACATTTTAATTATCATTTGCTTCTGCAATCTTTCTTGGATACAAATTTCAGACTAACCTTCCATTAGGTTACATACTTCCTGCCACAACGCCTTTTTTTATATATTATTTCTTTCGTTTGCAAATATTCTATGATCGAATAATGCTCGCTTGCGAGCCACACAAGTAATAAGTAATTCGTCTGTGTTAATTTCTTGTTGCACGTCATCTTTATTATTTGTTAGCTGACATGTGCTAGTCCCAAGTTCGGACAAATGATTATCGTACTCCTCTCTCACCACTAAAAATTAAAATTGATAAAACAGGTATAAATTCGATATCGAATTGTAGTACAAAGCATGAATAACTATGGTGTGAACAAATTATCCATCCTACAAAAACAATATTAAACAATAATAAATAATTATACTTTATTGCAGTCAATTTATCAACATTCAATATTGTTTTACTGTAATAGTAGATTGACGTCATTTTATGTTTATTTTCTCAATAATGAATGACACAAATTGTATATAAATCGTTTTGATCTAACAAATAAAACTTACCGACAGTAACTATGGAATTTTCATCTATATTAAATGCATTTATTTCTTCGTCAAACGAATAAAAACATGAGTGTTATATTAGATCATAGGATTGTGGGAGATAATATCCACAATAACCACATTTTCGACCCTATAATGCAAACAACAAAAACGATTACATCATAACTTCACACATTCCTATCTGTCTAAAATCACAATTAAATTGAACAAACTTTAACAAAAAGTCAGATTAAATTACAATATAATAATTATAAGTGATTAATATAACAAAAACTTACGATTTTCTCTTGAACCTTCGACATGTCGATAAAATATCTTTTTTGGTTTGAATCGCCTAGAGGTGCTTTCCAGCAATGTCTTCTTCTTCTTCTTTGATTGGCCCGGCAGCATAAAACAAGCTGGTACTGGGCCACTGAGGTCTGCGTTTCAGCGTATAAAATGAATGTGAGTCTAGTGTGTGAATGTGATGCTATTTTCCGTCCATCCAGACGCCTGCTGCCGCCTGACGGTGGTCGCGCGCCATAGGAGAGGAGGGAATTTCAAAAGAAAAATTCGCTAGCTTTCATGAAAGCTAAGAGGAGTCTTATTAGCGTGAGAGAGGGATGGGAAAGGAAAGGGAGCTTTCCAGCAATGACATGTATGCTTTCCTTTTAGGGTGTGTTCAGATCATAGAACTTATAATACTGGAATAGGAATAACCTACCCAAGCAGTGTGTGGAAAATGTGAGCAACTAAGAGCAGGACAGAAGATGTATTGCTGTCCTGCTCAGTGACTTTTTCTCTTTCTGCGCATGTGTCAATCCAAGCAGAAAAACAAGTACATATGTAACATCGAAA